AGGAGGAGGAGGAGGAGGAGGAGAACAAGGAGGAGGAGGAGGAGGAGGAGGAGGAGGAGGAGGAGGAGGAGGGGGAGGGGGAGGAGAAGGAGGAGAGCACGCGCAGGACCTTGGCTGCCGCCACCATGCTTTCGACTCCGCGGCCCCAGAAGCCCCGACCGCCTCCCCGTCCCGGATCCATGCTTGATGGTCCCCGGACCTGAGGACGGCTCCCGATGGCCGAAGCCGATGATCTGCACGCACGAAATGGGTACTGAAAGAATGGGTACAATGCCCAACAGCGGATCTTGTTCATTTTGAACAGGGCTCGCTGTCCACGCCGCCGCGCCCTGTGTCCATTCGAGACAGGAGGCCGCCTGCCCATCAGCGGCCCTGCTGGGCATTGTACCAATTTTTCGGTACCCATGTCGGGCGTCCAAAGATGAACACCGTCCCGATCGAATTACCCCAGCAACGCATCCTGATGGCAGCAAAGGTGAAGGTGCGGGTCGAGGAGCGGGAGGGCGGCGAGTGAAAGCGTGCACGTTGTGGGCCCCGGAAACGGCAGGGCCGTTTTTTCAACGTTTCCAAAAAATGCTCCTTGAAATTGGAAACGGCAAAAAACGGCGACCGGAAACAGCAAAAAAACGGCTCCAGGATTGGAACCGGAGCCGGAACTGGTCGAACAACGGCGACAGAACCGGTAAAAAAACGGCGTCGTAACCTTCAAAAAATCGGCAAAACGGAACCGGTAAAAAACGGCCCTGTCGTTTCCAGGGCCCACTAAGAGCGTGCACGCGTATGTTTTCCCAGGGCTCCCAGGCGTGGCAAGGGTGAGAGCACGGCCAGGATGTGCACCGTAGTGCTTTTGTTGGCACACTGGGTCGTGGCCGTGCGACGAGAGTGAGAGCACGGCCGCGTGCACCGCAGTGCAGCTTGTCACAAGGGATCGCGGCCGTGAGACAGGGGTGAGAGCACGGCCATGTGCAGCGCAGTGTGGCTTGTTGCAGGGGATGGCTGCCGTGTGACAGGGGCGGGAGCACGGCCATTTGCACCGCAGTGTGGTTGGTTTGGTTGTTTGAGAGGATCGCGGCCGTCTGCTGTGGGTGAGGGCACGGCCCTGTGCTCCGCAGTGTAGGCCTTTTACAAAGGACCGCGGCCGTGTCACAGGGGTCAAGGGCATGGCCATGTGCACACTCATGTTTTCATTCAAGGGATCGTGGCCGTGTGGCTGGGGTGAGAGCACGGCCATGGACAATGTAGTGTTGATTTCCCCGGCCCTCTTGAGTGTTGGGTCCTCGTTTTGAATTCAGAGCGCCGCGCGTCTCTTTCTTCCTCCCCCTCCTTCCTCCTCTCGTCTACCTCCGTAGCCATTTTGGCTCAAGCCAGTGTGGCTCAAGCCAGCAGGGCTCAAGAGAGGCGTACCTCCGGCGGCGCTTCCCGCGCTCCAGGCCCTGCCGTCGCCCCATGGTGATCCCGCTGTCCTCGACGACGGCCCAGCAGAGCACGCCCACTGTGGTGCTCATCCACGGCTTGGACGCGAACAAGGGCACGTGGCACGGCATCCTCCACGACTTGCACTCGGCCAGCTACCCGGCCATAGCGTTCGACCTGCGTGGGCACGGAGACTCTCCGCTCGGCGACCCGGCGGAGTTCAGTGCGGCCGCCGTGGCCGAGGACGTGGTCGCGGCAATCCAGGCCTGCGGAAGCCGCTTGCCCGCCGTCCTGGTTGGCCACTCCATGGGCGGCCGCGTCGCCGCGCGAGTCGCCGCGGTGGACGCCCAGCGCTCGCGTGCTGGTGCGCGGCCTCTGCTTGCCGCCTGTGTGATTGTCGACATGGATCTCAGGGTGAGGCACCCTCCCTGGTCGGCGGACGCCGACCTCTCGGAGCCGCAGCTCGCGGCGCTGGGCTCGTTCGCGAGTGAGAACGGGCAGCGCTTCGGCAGCTGGGAGGAGGCGCGCGACGCACTGCTGCCCTGGTACGCCGAGGACCCGGGCAGCGGCTCCGACCAGTGGGTCGATTCCTGGAAGGGGAAGCAGGTGCGTCCAGCGCCCAGCGGCGGCTGGTGGTCAGACCTCAACCCGCTCGGCCGGCGGCTGGCATTCCGGTCCCTGCTCGAGACCGCGGACGGCCTGGATGCGTGGGATGTGCTCGCCCGCGAGCGGCCGCTGCGCTTCGAGGTCCACGTGTGGCGGGCGGAGCGGCAGTCGGGCTGCAGGGACGAGGGAGAGGGCGGCCTCCTGGACATGCGGGCGCGGCTCCCCGAGCTGCACGTCCGCGTGTTCGGCGGCTCGGCGCACTCCATCCACTGGTCGAACCGCGAGGAGTTCGCGGCCGCGCTGCGGGGTGTCGTCGACGGCGCCGCCAGCCGGCTGCGCGCGGGCTCGTAGCCGGGCTTCTCCCGCGGGCCGCGGGCGCGCGGCGGCGGCGCCACCAGCGCGGCCACGGCGCGGGAGCCACCGTCGCGGCCCTGCTGACGACGCGCAGGTGTGGAGGCGGTCGGCGCGGCAGGGCCGGGGGAAAAAAAAAAACTAGCGTCGGAGGTCTGGGGACCACTGTCAGGAGGGAAAAAAACACACAGACACAATTCATCGTCGACCCCCAGGAAAATACGGGAAAATCTGGGAGCTGGGGGGGAAGACAAGAACCCAGAAAATATGATAAAATATGGGGAATCCCTTTATTTGTGTGGATTTATTTGTGTCCCAGGGCCCCTTCACACTGGGCGGCGGTAGGAGGCCTCCCCCCCCCGAGGCCTACGCGCGGCGCATCGGGGCCAGCGGCTGGGGGGGCGGCATCGAGATGGCGGCCCTCTCCAGGCTGAAGAAGGCGGGGGCCCGGCTGGCCACTGCGCGCGGGGCGAGCGGCGGCGAGCCCCGGGTGTGGCCGAGCGCGCTCCACCACTGGCAGAGTGCCTGCTCGCAAGCGTCGGAGCAGCTGATCGTGTCTTCCTCTGCGTAATGGTTCGCAACCTTGTGGAAGTCGATCAATGGAGAGGAAGCGTGCTGCCATATAACTTGTAGATGTCTAGAAGATGTTCCAAGCATATTGTAAGATTGCTTTTTCGTTTTATTATATATAAACGTACACAAAACATGCTTGAAACATGTTTTTTTACACAAAAAAACATGTTCTACACATTTCAGACACATCTTTAATTCAACGGTAGGATTGTGAGAGTGTCCAGTGTCATGGCATCCACAATCGTAGCCCCCCCGTGGCGGGCCCAAGCCATTTGCGGGCAGCTATTTTGCGAGTGGTGGAGCGCGCTCGTCCAGGGTGGGGCGCTCGGGCAAGCGCGCGGAGACCCCCTCCAGGGTGGCTGCCGTCCCGCGTGCGTGGCCGAACCATCACACCATCATACCGTCCGTGGAGTAGATCGCCTGCCTCATCCACCACCGTTCGGGAGCAACGGGGAAATCGTGTACGGGCAAATCCTATTTTTGAATCGAATTCTGGTGTTACTCGCGATATCAATTTCGTTTGGACACAGGTTTTCTCCTCCTTGGCGCCCTCGTGGGCCAGGGGATCGAAGGACTGGCAGTTGGGAGTTCTTTGGGGGGCCCGCCCTCGCCCTCGCAGGCGAGCCCGGGGGGGAAGTGGACGTCCCCCGGCCTTCTGGGGAGTGGTTTGAGCCTTCCCCGAGGGCACAGAAAACCTCTCAGAAGGCGCGAGGACTTCTGAGAAGTTCCGCCGCCTTCTGAGCAGGCATTCTGCTTCTCATTTCCACCCCTCGCTCGCCGCCGAGGTGAGGGCCGCCGAGGCGCGCGCCGTAGGCAGGCGAGAGGGCAGCATCGCCCCCGCGGGTGAGTCAGTACGATCGTGATGGGTACGGAAAGGATGGGTGCGAAGACCCTCACCATTTCCTGTTTTTCTCCCAACCATCCTGTGGTGTTGGGTCTTCGTCTTGAAGAGACAGCGCCGCGCGTCCCTCCTCCTCTCCTCCCCCTCCTCCCTCCCTCCCTCCTCCCATCATCAGCATTATCGTCATCGTCATCGTGATCGTCGTCATCATAATCATCATCATCATCATCATCATCATCATCATCATCATCATCAGTATCAACAACAGCATGGCCGTCATCATCATCAGCATCTTGTCATCATCATTATCACCAGCGTCATCATCATCATCAGCATCAGCATCATCATCATCACCACCATCATCACTATCATCATCAGCATCATCATCGTCAGCAGCGTCATCATCATTAACAGTAGCATCATCATCATCCTCATCATCAGCAGCATCACCCTCATTATCGTGGCCGTCATCATCACCAGCATCGGCATCATCATCAGCATCATCATCAGCACCAGCATCATCATCATCATCATCATCAGCAGCAGCAGCAGCAGCATCATCATCATCATCATCATCATCGTCATCGTCATCGTCATCGTCATCGTCTTCGTCACACCCCTCATACGTTTCGTGGCCCCATAGGGAGCTACACCCAAGGTCCCAGTGGCGCAGTCCGCATGGCGGCGCCGCCCGATTTGGGCACACCCCTCACACGTTTCGTGGCACCATAGGGAGCTCCACCTCAGGTCCCAGTGGCGCAGTCCGCATGGCAGCGCCGCCCTGTTTTGGAATACCCCTCACACGCTTCGTGGCCCCACGGAGAGCTCCACCTCAGGTCCCAGTGGCACAGTCCGCATGGCGGCGCCGCCCCACTGTGGCACACCCCTCACGCTTCGTGGCACCATAGGGAGCTCCGCATAAGGTCCCAGTGGCGCAGTCCGCATGGCAGCGCCGCCCTGTTTTGGAACACTCCTCACACGTTTCGTGGCCCCCTGGGGGGCTTCACCTAAGGTCCCAGTGGCGCAGTCCGCATGGCGGCGCCGCCCCATTTTGGCACACCTTTCACGCGTTTCGTGGCCCCATCGGGGAGCTCCACCTAAGGTGCCAGTGGCGAAGTCCGCATGGCGGCGGCGCCCTATGTTGGCACACCCCTCACACGCTTCGTGGCACCATAGGGAGCTCCACCTAAGGTCGCAGTCCGCATGGCGGCGCCGCCCTGTGATGGCACACCCCTAGCACGTTTCGTGCCCCCGTAGGGAGCCCCACCTAAGGTGCAAGTGGCGCAGTCCGAATGGCGGCACCGCACTATTTTGGCACACACCTCACACGTTTCGTGACACCATAAAGAGCTCCACTTAAGGTGTCAGTGGCGCAGTACGCATGGCGGCGCCGCCCTATTTTGGAGCACCCCTCACACGTTTCGTGGCCCCACGAGGAGCTCCACCTCAGGTCCCAGTGGCGCAGTCCGCATGGCGGCGCCGCCCCATTCTGGAGCACCGCTCACACGTTTCTTGGCCCCATAGAGAGCTCCACCTAAGGTCCCAATGGTGCAATCCGCATGGCGGCGCCGCCCCATTGAGGGAGTTCCATCTAAGGTCCCAGTGGCGCAGTCCGCATGGCGGCGCCACCCTATTTGGCACACCCCTCACACGTTTCGTGGCACCATAGGGAGCTCCTCCCTGCCCCATTTCGGCACTCTCCACGCGCTTCGTGGCCCCATGAGGAGATCCGCCGAAGGCGATACTAACAACGACGGTATTCACAACTGCATCTGGTTGGGTCCTTCGCCAGGCTAATATTTCCAGGACTCCTTGTCAGTGTCCCCGCGGATGCTGCCCGTTTGAGACATAAGGCCGCTTGCCCAACAGCGGCCGCTGCCGATGTTGGGCAACACGAGTTGTTGAGCATCGTACCAATGTGTTCCGTAATTAGTTCGGGCGTCCAAGTGAGGATGATAAGGAGGTGCCAACCCAGACATGCTCTCGTCGTGGCAACAATCACGATGTAAGGTTTTATGTTGGGCCTCCAGGGGCCCTCGCCGGGCCCCGGGCCGTCGAACAATTGCTCAGGATGAAAGCGGGCCAGGGGATCCCGTATCAACAAGATCAAGACATCGCAAATCTGGGTTTTCCTCCCTCGCCCCCATTTCCCTCCTCCGGCTCCCCCAGCCTTCTTCTCCTTCTCCGTCTCCTCGTTATCCTCCTTGTCTGGCTCGCCGTCCGAGGCTACCCGATTCTTGAGCAGACAGGCCACAGCGACTCGTCATCATCGTCCTCCTCTCCTCCTCATCCTCCTCCTCCACATCCACCTCCTCCTCCTCCTGCAACCAGGCGAACGTCTGCAGCCTGGGAGCTAGAAGGCGTTTTGTACCCTCAGGAGGAGGAGGAGAAGGGGGATAACGGGGAGGAGGAGGAGGAGGAGGACGAGGAGCACGAGGAGGGGAGAAGGAGGAGGAGGAGGAGGAGGAGGAGGTGAAGGAGCAGCCCGAATGCGCTGAGAGATGCGAAGAGGGAGTCCCGGACACTCTTAGTATGAGATGAGCGCTGAGCTAACAGCTGACCTCTGAGCTAACAGCTACGCAACCTGCTGGCCAGTGCCCACGGCGACCAAGCCGTGGCGACGCGTGAAGGGTGAAGGAGGGATGGGGGAGGGAGCGGGTGCTCGATGCTCCTGAGGTTTTTGTTTTGGAGGTTCCCGGGAGTGCCAGGGAGGGGGCAGAGGTGGCAACGCTGGTGTGGGGGATCGCCTCGGGGGCGAGCCTATCGACCACCCGATCGCCCATGCATCGCCGACAGGGGGCCCGAGGGCCCACCCCACCCAGGCACGTGCGGGCTCCCCATCCGGGGCCCCTCGGCGATTGGTCGGCGGTGCATCGTCGATGGCAGGTCGATGCTGCCCCCCCTTCCCCTTCGCCACGCGCCGTCTTCGGCCAGCAGCGCGTGTTCCCCGCCGTCGCCCCTGTGTGCAGGGCTGCCGTGGAGAGCTTCTGCCCGCGCGCATGCGCATCTGGGCACTCCGTGGGAGCAAACGGCCACATTGCCAAAGGCACGCCTTCTCCTTCTCCGTCCAGTCGTCTTCCTTGGAGGACCACGAAACGTACGGCTATGCGTTCTTGTGCACGCGAGTCCCGATTGTATGCGTGTGGCGACGATGTTCTACACAAGTGCGTCAGCATGCAAGTGTTCTTGTTCACTGCATGCAAGTGCACTTGCATGCGCATTCTGCCCATCATGGTCGCACCCTGCCACACTGGAACCAGCGATGGTGACACACGGCCCCCTCCCCGACTCTCCAGGGCCCCACCCCTGACAACTGGGCGCCGCCACGCGTGGGGCGCTGGCAGACACGGGCATGAGGTCGACGGCAGTCGCGCCGCTGCACCCGGGGCGCTCCGTGGGGCCGTCCTGGGGCGCTCCTGGGATGTCTGGCGCCGTGGGAGGCTGCCTTGGGGCCTGTCTGGGTCGTTTGGGGGCCCTCTTGCAACCTGGAGCTCAAGGGACGGGGGTCAATGCAAACGGGGGTCAACCAGGGCGCCGGATCTTGCAAGATCCTGCAGAAACAGGGCTGCAATGACCCGGGCTAGCGTGCAAGATCTAGCAACATCCTGCAGGATCTTGCAGGATCCTGCAAATCTTGATTGACCCGGGTTTGCGTTGACCTGGGTCAGTGCGTTCCCGACTTCTCTTCTCCTTCCTACTCAAGCGGCCTAGGCATG